CGGGGCGCCGTCGGCCATCTTGGTCCAGCGCTCCAGGAGGTGCCGGTCGTCGTCGGTGAGGACGAGGCCGTGCAGCCCCTCCCCCCGGGCGCGGGGCTCGCGGCGCTCGCGTTCGCGTTGTTTCTTCTCGCGCTCCTTGGCGCGCTCCTGGCGCCGCCGGCGCTTCTCCTCCCGCTCGCGTTGGCGCTCGGCCGCCGTCACCGGCTTGCGGCCCTCGGGAGCCTCGGGGGCGGCGCAGGGGGGGTCTGGGGGGAGGGGGCGGGGAAGGGGATGGAGGTCAACCCAACTGGGACGAGTTCAACTCAACTGAACTCAACCCAACCCAACCCAACTCAAATCTACTCAACCCAACCCAACCCAACTCAAATCCACTCAACCCAACCCAACCAAACCCAACCCAACCCAACCAAACCCAACCAAACCCAACCCAACTCAACCCAACTCAACCAAACCCAACCCAACGCAAACCAACTCAACCCAACATCAACAAACCCAACTCAACCCAACCCAACCAACGTAAACTCAATAAACCCAATACAACTCAACCCAATCAAACCCAACCCAACCCAACTGAACCAAACCAACCAGATTCAAATGAACTCAACCCAACCCAACCAATCCCCAAGACCCAGAACAGCCACGTTTGTCCCCTCCCCCCTCACCTTTGCTCTTGTTCCTCATGGCCGATTTCAGCAGCGCCGCCTTCAGCGCGGCCTTGGTGTCGTCCGAGATGGCGCCGTCCCTCTTGGGGGCCGCCGGCGCCCCCGGCTCCGCCTTCACCCGCGGCGAGTCCATGGGGCAGTCGGGGGCGGGGCCGGGGCTGGGCATGTCCACGTCGGCGCAGGGCGGCCACGCGGGGCCGTTGGCGACCGCGGCCAGGGCGGCGTTGGCCATGGGGACGTTGGCCACGTTGAGGTTGGTGTTGGCCATGTTGACGCCGCCATTGGCTACGTTGACGTCGACATTGGCCATGTTGACGTCGGCCACGTTGACGTTGGCGTTGGCCATACCGACGCTCCCGTTGCCTGCGTTGACGTTGGCCACGTTGACGTTGGCCACGTTGACGTTGACCTCGGCCTTGTTGACGCCGTTGGCCGCGCCGCCGGCGCTTGCCATGGCGACATCACCGCCCCCGGCGCCGCCGGCCGCCCCGCCCCCTCCCGCCGGCGCCGGCGCGATCTGCCGCCGGATGCCGTCGCGGCGCGCGTGGAAATCGGCGATCTCGGCCACGATGGCCGCCTTGATCTCCTCCTTGGTGAGTGCCTGCCGCTCGAAGGCGAAGTCGAACGCCGGCACGCACTCGGGCTCGTCCTCGGGGTCGTGGTACTTGGCCAAAAACGGGTGACGCAACGCCTCGGCCACGCCCACCCGCTCGCGGGGGTCGAAACGCAACATCCTCCCGAGCAGCGCCAGCGCCGCCGGCTCCGCCTCGCCGAAGAGGCTCTCCCACGGCACCGGCGGCCGCGGCGGCAAACTCTGCACGTAGGCGCGCACGCGCTCGGCGCCGATGGCCGCCATGACGCTGGCGGGCGGCGTGCCCAGCACCGCCATGATCAGCTGCAGCTGGTGCACGTAGTTGCGGCCGGGGAAGAGCTGGCGCCGGCCGAGCATCTCGGCGAAGATGCAGCCGACCGACCACATGTCGATGGCGCGCGTGTAGCGGTGCAGCGACAGCAGCAGCTCCGGCGCGCGGTACCAGCGCGTGGCCACGTACTCGGTGAGGAACGCCTTGGCCTGGCGCGGGTCGGCGCCCAGCCCGCGCGCCATGCCGAAATCGCCGATCTTGAGCTCGCAGTTCTCGTTGACCAGCAGGTTGCTGGGTTTGAGGTCGCGGTGCAGGACGTTGGCCGAGTGGATGTACTTGAGGCCGCGCAGGAGTTGGTAGAGGAAGTAGCGGACGTGCTCCAGGGTGAGCGGCTGCGCCGAGTGGATGATTTGGTGGAGGTCGCTCTCCATGAGGTCCAGCACCACGTACCTGAGGGGGCGTGGCCACGGTGAGCGCC